ATCTAATAAATCCCCAAAGACTTGTTAAATGACCACAAAAGAAGTTTTTCAAGCCTGTAGAAAGACTGAAAGAATAGTACAATAAGCTCCCCATATACTTAGACTCACCAGTTTGCAATTCACCAGTTATTAATATGTTGCCACAGTTGTTTTACCTTTCTTTCTCTCATTATCTATGTATTTGCAGTCTTTCTTCAACTATCTGAAAGCAAATTGCAGACATCCTGGCGCTTCACCCCTGGGTACTTAAGCATGTATCTCCTTAGAACAAAGATTTTATCCTTCACAACCACAGTATCATTATCTCACCAAGAAACTGAACATTAATACAGTAACATAGTAATGAGCAGTCTATATTCAAATTGCCTCAGTTACCCCAAACCTGTTCCTCATAGCCTTTTTCCCCCTTGGATGAAGACACCAATCAAGACTCATGCACTACATTTGGTTAACACATTTCTTTAGTTTCTTTCATATAGAAAAAGCCCATCCCAACCCCTTTTTTCTTTCTTCCTTAGCACTGACATCTTTGACCCATCCAAACTAATTGTCCAACAACTGGATTTACTTGCTTAGTTCCTCGTGATTAGACCACTTCCTCAACAGCGAACATTTGGGAGCGCACTTTCACAAACAGTGACACAAATACTGTCTTCCCAGCTAATAAGAGGAGCATTCTCCCTCCCCCAACACACACACACACACACACACAGACACACACACACACACGCAGACTCACCTTCAGGCAAGAAGGAACCAGGATGAACAGAAGAGCCTATCAGTCATCTCAAGAATTTGGTGACTTAAAAGCAGAGGTTCTCAGATTGGACTGAGTAAGAAAACTTTCAGCACAACATATTGAGGAAACTGACAGAGAGGTGCCACTTCTTTATTTTACCAAGGAAGAACATTTAAAAATAAACAAGAGCTTACCACTTATTATCATTTCCTAAATCTATTCATAATTTCATAAATAAAGGTCATTTTAACACCAAAAGGTATGAATAACAATCTAAACAAAGGTTCAAAAAAGGATAGTGTTTTTCAAAAGGGACAGTAGGCAACTTTCTACTGCTCACATGCAGACATGTCTCACCCAGGCCTTTTATTTCTCCTTTTGCTACAGACTATCAAAACTGTCATGGAGGGGCACAAGAACTCTGAACCACTAACCTAAATGAAGCTCTCAGGAGCTAAATTACTGGTAGTATTTGAAGGTGATCGCTGTGCTTTCCTCATCTGTCCTGTGCTAGCTGTGCAGTCTCTGAGAGAAAGGGCAGGTAGGGAGGCCTGGGGCACCTGTAACAGGTCACTATGAGCCATATCACCTGCTGAACTCAGAGTCCCCCCACTCTGCATTCTTACCTTCTCTGGAGCCTGGTGGCACATCCCGAGCAGTGTCTCGGGTCTGGGGACACTGGCCCCTTCTCAGCCTTGCTACCTCCTGGCTGCTGCTTTCCAACCTCCTGGCCAGATTCTCATTCTCTTGCCTCAGTCTCTTCTTCTCTTCCTCCAGAACTGACTTGTCTCGGAGGAGGTTGCTATAGGCAGTCTCCAACTCTCTGGTTTGGGTTTCCAGCTGGTCCCGCTCCCGCCTCAGGGTGCCCAGCTCCCTCTGCAGCCCCTCCTGGGTCTCCTGGGGCCCGGCAGCCCGGTCCAAGGTCAACTGGTGGTGGAGGAGGCTCTCCAGGGAGCTGAGCCGGGCTTTGGTGGCCTCCAGGTCTAAGCGCTGGGTGCTGCTGTCTTTCTGTAGGTTATGGATGACTGACATGGCCTGGCTTTGCTCTGGGCAGCTGGATTCATTGGGACTGGCCACAATGAACGTATACTGGCATCGGCCACTCCGGTCATTGGCCTTCCGGAGCTGAGCTGTCCTGGCCCCCACATCCCACACCAGGCAGGCCAGAAGCAGCAGCTGGACAGCTGGCATCTCGGACCCAAAGCTGCAGCAACGTGCACAGAAGAACCTCAGTGCAGATGCTGGGTGAGGCTTCCTCTGGAAAGCTCTGCTGTGCTGAGAGGTGTCCGGATGGGTGGCCTTGCTGGCTCATGCCCGAGCTCCAGAGAGGTTTATATATACTGGGGAGCCAGCCCTTCATGAGGGAAAAGAGAGGTGGCCACGTGAGGCCGGGTGGGGCTGTGCACAGCGGGGGTTGCCTTCACACTGCCAGCAAGATTCTTAGAAAATAACCTTCCAGAAGTCTGTTTGGAGTTTCTTTTGAAAAAGAACATCCCAATTTATATACCCACACCCCAATAATAGTCCCTATGTCCCCACCTGGTTTTACACACACACACACACACACACACACACA